ACCCCTAATAGGCTTCCATCTTTTAAGATAAAAAAAACGCTAGATACCAAATACCAAATTCCATGCCAGATGTCTAATTAACCAACCCACATGGCATGAAGATTTGCAATTGGACTCTGGCAACAGACACCTCGCTGGCACTGAGAGACTTTTGAGATGCCAAAATCTATTGCTTTTGACATTGATGTGGGCAATTTCAAGCGCATTGCAGATGTTATTAATACGTCGTTATTATAAAGATAATATAATTTTTTTTTAATTTTTAGCTGAAAGAACCACATATTAAAAAAGAAAACTCTCTGATACAATCGTTCTCAACATAATCAAACTGAATAGCATCTAAAGCTAAACGAGGAACATGATGCTCCCACAAATGACAATCAGTTATTAGATGACCCTGACGAGCAAAGATATCAGTAACAAAGTTTGTCTCGCTAAAGATATGGTTCCAATATAATTTATATTCTCAATTGATGTTTAAGAATGTATAAAACTCATTAAATTTAATGAATGTTGAACGAAAATATAAACATTAACTTGCAAATTTTCTTCACGAATTCTCTATCTTATACCTTCACTTGAACAAAACACACAGATTAACATTTATATTTTTATTCAACATTCATTAAACCTAAGAAATTATCAAAGGCAAACTAATTCTAGGGGACCCTTAAGAGAAAATCCCCTTAACAATCTCCTGAAAAATTACTCTACTTAACCAAGGTCTTAGATGCGATTCTTGTTAAAAGCGATTGTGAACTACATTATTGCTACCCCATTGTGAAGTTAAGACCACCCACCTTTCCTTTAGTGTAGATAATATGATTTGTTTAAAAAACAAAAAAACAATCGTTGTTGTACATGACATACCAGCTGACGTATACAATTGAGTGAGACAAACTTTTCTCCTTCTGTCAATAGTGGGAAGAGTCAAAATCTTCACATAGTCCACTTCTATATATTTGAACTTTCATGCATCACAAACAACGCCACCGCCACCGCCACCGCAGCCCTAAGACATCACTTCATCCATCTTCATTTGTAAAGCCCAATAATCATGGGTAGAGAAAATCGTGATTTCCACATCTGTTTATTTCCTTTCATGGCTCATGGCCACATGATACCGATCTCCGACATGGCCAAGCTCTTTGCATCCCAAGGAGTAAAAACCACCATAGTCACCACTCCTCTAAATGCCCCAATAATCTCCAAAGCCACCCAATCAAGTAAAACCTGCTCCGGCGGCGTAGAAGTCAAAATCAAAACCATCAAGTTCCCTTCTGTAGAAGCCGGGCTGCCAGAAGGGTGCGAGCATGTCGACTCTCTCCCCTCACCAGAATTCAGGACCAATTTTTACAAAGCAACAAGCCTTCTCCAAGAACCTCTAGAGCATCTTCTGCTCCAAGAAAACCCTAGTTGCCTTGTGGCAGACGTTCTTTTTCATTGGGCAACTGATGCTGCTGCAAAGTTTGATATTCCAAGGCTAATTTTTCATGGCTTTAGTTTCTTCGCCATGGCTGCCTCAGATATTGTGACAAAGTATGAGCCGTTCAAGAACACTTCGTCGGATTCGGACCCTTTCATGATTCCGGATTTTCCTGGTGAGATTACGATGACACGAGCCCAAGTTCCTGATCATGTCAAGGAACATATCGAAAACGACTTGACCCGGATGGTCAAACTGGCCAAGGAAGCTGAGAAAACGAGCTATGGAATTGTTGTGAACAGTTTCTATGAGCTCGAATCGGTTTATGCAGATTATTACAGAAACGTGCTTGGGATGAAAGCTTGGCATATTGGCCCTGTTTCTCTATGCAATAGAAACAATGAAGAAAAAGCACTTAGAGGAAAAGCAGCTTCCATCAGCGAGCACGATTTCTTGAAGTGGCTTGAGTCAAAAGAACCTAATTCGGTTGTTTATGTATGTTTTGGAAGCGTGGCTAAATTCAATGCCTCTCAGCTTAAGGAGATTGCAATGGGGCTTGAGGCTTCTGGGCAGGACTTCATTTGGGTTGTGAGGGCCGGACAAGATTATGATATGGAGAAAGAGGAGTGGCTGCCAGAAGGGTTTGAGGATCGGATGGAAGGGAGAGGACTAATCATAAGAGGGTGGGCCCCGCAGGTTCTGATTCTTGATCATGGGGCAGTTGGCGGGTTTGTGACTCACTGTGGGTGGAACTCGACGTTGGAAGGGATCGCTTCCGGGTTGCCGATGGTGACGTGGCCGGTGGCTGCCGAGCAGTTTTACAACGAGAAGCTGGTGACCCAAGTGCTGAAAATTGGTGTTGGAGTTGGTGCTCAGAAATGGGTTAGGGTTGTGGGGGATAGCGTGAAGAAGGAAGCTGTTGAGAAAGCTGTCAGGAGGATTATGGTGGGTGTGGAAGCACAGGAAATGAGAAGCAGAGCTAGGGAACTTGCGGAGCAGGCAAAGAGGGCTATTGAGAAAGGAGGATCGTCACACTCTGATTTGAATGCTTTAATCGAAGAGTTGAGTTCCCACTAGTTAGAGTTGGAGCACACATTCAGATGGACTTCACTTTCTGAATATTTCAGATTGATAATGTTTTGTACAAAATCTAAGTAAGAATAGTTACTCATAATTCATAAACGAATGATTAATGTTGAGGATAGTGACTGAAAGTTTAGTTGTTTTTCTTTTGACCCAGATTAGACTTTCACGATGCATTTTATTTATCTTTAAGGGTCATATATTTGCCCAGCCAAAGAAAATAATTCTAAGGGTCCTATACTCTTTTCTTTAACTCTCCTTTATTGACCTGTGAGTGTCACACACAGCTAGATATAATGAAATATGGATCTGATTACATAACAAAATCTTCTTTATAATATAATTTACAGGTAGTTCAACATAAAATCCTAAACATGGCATTGGTTGGGTTGCAGAAGGGAGAACTTTAGATTATAAACTAGCAATTGGGCTCGCGCGATGCCGTGGGTTTTATAACTATGTTAAACATGTAGAATATATTAAAATCTATTTACATCCATCCATATCAAACTATATTTACATCGTTATGTTCAATAAGGAACAAAAGATAGGTGTCTGTAGAATACATTACATAGCAAAAAACTTGGAGATTAAGATGTTCATATAGTACACATAAAAGTATCTTTGTTTCACATGTCCCAACTTTTCACATTGTTCCTCAGGACTTCACTCTTCTTTCTTCTTCTTTGCCAAAGAGATGTTCTTCTTTTACCATTTGATTTATTCAGCTATTCCTTGTCCTTTAAAATATTGTGTGAATATAATTGAAACCTCAGACAACAGATAGATAATTAGGACAGAAAGAAACACATGCATGAATAAAACAAGTTTTCAACCACACCTAATATATAATTAAGCTAAGCAATGAAAACAAAATAAACAAAATATAAATTAAAGAAGAAAATTGGGGGAGCTAGTTTGAACATACACCAACCCACATTCTTACACTCTTCTTCCAGTTTTCTCGAGATCTTTACAGACATCAATGAGAACTGTTTGTGCAATGAAAACAGAATTTCTATAATACTAATTGCTTCCATCCAAGACAACCCAATGAGGCAGCATTAACTTACATGCTTGATCCTCAAGTGGAGCATTGTTAAAAAATTCATGCACTCGAGCATCTTTTGAGTTTGATTACTACCACTTAAGCATTCTAAAAATTGGCCCTAAACTCTAAACCCCAAACCCCAAGCTCTATTTAGACTCATGATCAGCAAATAGGATATGGTTTGGCAGTTCTATTGCCATTGTTCTAATATTCACATCCTTTACAATTGAACTCCTAACTGCCCTTTTATTAACATAATTAGTTACAATAAGCAAAAGTGAGTCACAAATAGTATTCAGCAAGAAAAAAAAACATAGGCATTTCCAAACAGAAGATTAAATATTACACACTAGTGAGTCACATGCGTATTCGAAGGGGAGAAGGGAAAAGGCTAATGTCCTCCGGCGGCGAATTAGGGGACGCATACGCACGGTTCAAAGCCAATGCATAGGATGGTATGTTTTGACCATTCAAGTCCCTAAACACACAAAATAGGATGAAAAAAAAAATTAAACTAAATAATGGTCAGAAACACAAATATTAGACCTTCACCAAAGTTTTTTTTCCCTTAATATTCTTCAGTTCTTCTACACAACTGTACCTCCCTGATTATCTGGATTTATTCGGAAGCCTTGAGAGTTGTGACGCAATTGATCATGTGACCTAAGATAAAAGGAGAAGGTCAAGAGCTCGGGAATTGCCCTTCAACCTCAAAATGCATTTCTAGCGCCCAAATTAGAGAGGGCAAGTCGTGGACCATGCAAAGCCTGCCCAAATGCCCGAGCAATTTAGGTCCGGCCTTGCGCCAGCATACTTTCTCATGAGCAAGTGGGCTGACAACTTCTGATATCTTTTGGTAAAATCACATGTATGGAAGTGTGCACATCACAAAAATCATATATACTAAAACTCGTAGGGATTGGGTACTGTGGATGACCAGTGGGCTGACGTTTTTGCCCCTCAGTTTCTCCTCGCTTCCCGCTTTGTTGCCTGCTTCGTACAGTGGAAAGACGGTTTTGCCCATTCTTTCCACGCGTCCATCATCGTTGATATCTCGGCTTCGAGTTCAAGTGTATTCTAGCCGTGTTCTTCTGCGATTGTTTGTTCTTCTTAAATATTGTGGTCTTTGCATTGAAAAATATTGGGGGAAAGTTCCTGCTTTTCGTGTTTTAAGGGAACTTATTTGTGTTCTCTAATTTGATGAGGGTTTTGCATCTTTTTAAACCTGGAGTTGTGGGTGTTTTGCACAGCCTCATAAAATTGGTCTCTATTTCTAGAGTTGCGATCGGGAGGCAAATATTTCGCAGTTTTTGCGTTCGTCTTTGTCTGATAATTCGCGAATCTTAGCCGGATCTGTTTCCTGTTTTCTTCTCCGTTTAAGCGCCGGTTGTCTTTAGATCGTTGGGAAATAAATTTTATACAACTGAGGTGTGATTCATAACTACTGTCTTTCAGTTTTTATTTTGTAATTTTGTTAGTTTGGATGAAACTGTAATAATTTTGTTTTGGGTTAATTGTGGTCTTCACGAGTAGTGCTCTGTTTGGTGTCGTTTTGAACATCACAAGAGCCGCCTCCCTCCCCGCCGCTTCCAACGTCTCCTCTCCTTCTGAGGCCGACTGTGGATGTTTGTCTTTCTTCTCTCCTCTCTTTTTATTTATTTATTTATTTTTTATAATTTTTTTTGGAAATTAAGATTGCCTGATTACTTCTTTTTCTTTTTTTTCCCTATTTGTTTGTTGTTTTTTTAGTATTTGCCACTTCTGTTGGTGCCCCTATATGTCGTTATTATTATGTTAATGCTGCTTTGATATTTGTTTGTTATTTTTTTAGTGCATGAGATCGATCTTTGTTTTATTATTATTTTTTTCAAATGGTGTTTCATCTTTCTTGCTACATCAATTTGAAGAATTGGCTAAGAAAAAAAAAATTAGAATGAGTTGGAAACTGAGTAGAAAAATATTAGAGAGAGAAACAGAGAATGTGATTTGATAATTGGTAATATGATCAATCCTTGGGGGCATATATATTATATCAAGTTAGATTAGAATTTTTTGATTAAATTTGATTAAAATTTGATCATATAAAATAAAACAATTTATACATATTGGAAATATGCATTAAAAAGTTTAAGTCTCACATTACATGGATAAGAATGACTTTTTTAGATGTTTAAATGTTTTTTACTGAAGAGTGTTTTGTGTTTCTATTGCCGATAACCAAATGTTGTAACGTATACCTTAATATATTTTCTTGCTGGTAAGCAAAGAGGTTTTTCGTCAAAAATATTAGTTGCTGTTTTCGAGTTGCTCCATTTCTTTCAAAGTTTATTTCCTTAAGGGAATTAATGTGTATGAAGCAACAAGTTATTATGGTTCTGATGTTTCTAAAATTTATGATTACAGGTTTCATTTGGCTGTTTGTTTTGCATGCTTCATTTTTGCAAAGTAAAGGACATATGCAACACCTTCCACGATTTTAGAACACTTGAAGGTGAGACCTAAGAAATAAAATAGCGGTATGAAAATTTGTGATGGCATATTAATTCCCTTTTTTGTGAACTGATTTTAAAGCATATTTACCCATTTATTTTTTCATATTTTGTATACATTTGATTTATGATAGTATGATAGATTACGCATATACTTAACGTGTTTGCATAAATTTAATGCCTTAAGCTTACATCTTAACAAATACCTATGAAATCTGTAGTATTATCTAATTGAATTGGTTAGTTTTGATTTGCATTTTGTTAATTTATATATTTGTAATAGTCGACTGTGTTGAAATTTTAGTGTATCACTTTCTGTCAACACTCTGCTTCTTTTTCTTATTATATTTTCTATGTTTAAATAGCATGAACATACTAAAAATCTGTTAATTACAAACTATCCATTACAAGTTTGTACTGCCTGTTTTCTTCTTTTACATCCAGTAGTTTTAAGACCCGCAGCAACGCGTGGGCACTATTGCTAGTAATTACTAAATTTGCTTTTGCTTTAAAACCCTAAAAGAAAAAACAAAAAAGGCCAAATACCAAATTCCATCCCAAATGTCTGATTATTAGCCCAAGTTTCCACATGGCATGAAGATTGGCAATTGGGCTCTAGCAACAAACTAGTAACGGTGCCCGCGCGTTGTTGCGGGTTTTAAAACTGTATAAAACATGCGAAAAGTTTTAAATAGATACGATATGCAATACTATTTTAGATATATGTTGAAATTTGTTTACAATCATATGGACCGGCGGTTCTATTGCCATTGTTCTAGTATTTACATCTTTTACAAATTTCAAATCCTAAGTGTCCTTAACTGAAAAAAAAAGATAAAAAGTGGTTCTATTGCCATTGTTCTAATATTCGTATCTTTTACAAATTTGAAGTCCTAAGAGTTCTTAAGTAAAAGAAAAGATAAAAGTTTCTTTCTCACCGAAATCTATCAATTTGAATCAAATCTTCCTAAAAAGTATAGATTGTAGCATACCTTGTAATTTTTGCAAGCTGGACACCTGCAATATTAATAGTGACATAATTTATTCCTAACCCATCAGAAAAACCAAAATTGAACAAACCTTCCTCCCCGCTCCTCTGACCAAATAAAAGAAGTAACGTTTCTCTTTTGGAACCTCTAATCACATGAAACAGAACCATACAAAACAGAAATTTAAAAAAAAAAAAATGAAACATATTAACTCTTGACAAAAACTTATTACCCAAGAACGTAAAGTCACTGAAAACACAAATTACCAATGAAGAAATGAGGAAACAAATCAGCAACCTAACTTATATAGCATTAGGATGAACCATGCTAATTTGTTGATAACTGATTTGTCTCCCTACATTTTTCAAACTTGCAACCACATATAGTATTATAACATAATGATCAAACAAAACAAATTAATTCTTAAGCACACATTAATTCTTGAGCATGGAAAGGCTTTGGTTTGTTGCAAAATAATGGAAAATAAAATAAGAAACCCGTTGGAAAAGTTGGCAATAAATTGGTTAAAAAACAATTTAAAATACTTTTTGTACGACTTGGTGATTCTAAACACTATTTGTTTCCAGATGAAATTAAATATCGGAAAGAAACATGCCCCAAATCAGCTGAAGAACTCATAATAGAATTTCTACCTTACATTTATCATAACCTTTTCCATCACAAAATATTCAAAATTTCAACAGAACATGGATTGTATAATGCTGGTTAAAGAATAGGTTGGAGTATACCTCGTAGTTTGTGCAAGCTAGAATCACATTGTTATAACGCAACGAAAAAATTAGGGTCAAACCTTTTATATAACAACATTTTAATTAACAAAAATTAAGCCTAAAAAGAAACACGGGACGATCTATTATAAATTGCCACTTACATCAGAAAAAAATGTTAATTTATTCAAAATCAATCATGGAAATATATATATATATATATATACACACGAAAAGAAGAAAATAGATAATAAGCACGAATAATTTTTTTGAGATTATTAATCCATATTGCAAATCACAGGTCACAAATTGAAACCAAATGATATCATCCAAGAATCCCTTTTGTATTCTGTCCTTATATTGATTGCCAACAAAATTGTCCCTTTTTTTTTTTTTTTTTTTTCTTTCTCAACCCTGTGCAGTTCAAAAGTACAACCACCAAACCCTGTAATGAACCAAGATATTGCTCATAGCAAATTCCAAAAATTTAATTAGATTTAACCAATACAGTCCTAAACCCATTTAATCTGAAAAATATAAAGAGAATCCTGTACATTACAAAATCAAATCAAATCATATAATCTCAAACATTTTATTCATACCTTTTTTATTTTGTCTTTATACCGATCACCAAGTTTTTAGTCAGTCTGTGAAGGTGAATTTTATCAAAAACCTGCAATCATGAAAAGAAAAAAAAAATTAATATCATAAAGATAGAAAGAAAATTGCAGCCTTGAATATTTATAACACAAAGAGAATGATCACACAGAGATAAGATTGATCAACAAAGATACATTTGTCTACCGAAGTCCAATAAAATACATCCAGAAAAGCTGTTCAGTTTTTACACTTCTTAATCAACAGACTTTAAAAAAATAATTGAAATGAACTAAACGAAAAAGAATAACAAAAGTTCATGTAAAAATAAAAGGATTTAAACATATTAGACCATGCACTGGCTAACCTTTTGACTAAATCATCAACACTTTGAATACACATAAATGAATGTGCACGTAGAGGTGTAAAGTAGAGGATCCCATAATTATCCCAATGTTATTTTGTCTATACCTTTGATGGAAATCCAAAGAGAAAAAAGGCAGGACATGATTTCGGCATGTGTGCAACTTTCTACAACCCTAGAGGTTCCACTTGTTTTGCAAAAACAAAATCAGTGCTCGGAATCCAGAAAAGTAAAATGATAACCGTTATTGCTTCACCTACTAAAATTTTTAAAACCTCATTTAGTCACTAATACAAAAGATGGTGTTTCCCGAAGATGGAACTGCGAAAATCATTGATGCTAATGATCTCCGCTACACTAACTCTATTCCTATTAAATAAGCATTTCCTACAAATTAAAAATCCAAATTTCAGGCTGGCCTTAGCTGGAACTTCCCACTAAACCCTACTAACAAACGAATTTGTCCCTCAGTTTCTTCGATGCTTGCAGAGCTGTTTCCTATTTTCTACAGTAAATAGTCAGTTTTGCCCATATTGGCCGCGCGTCCGTGATCGTTCATCTATACGCTTCAACTGGGTTTTATCGCTTTACCATTTACTAAAACGCATTATTTTGTTTGTCATGTATGATGGCCTGCCAAATATTGAATAGAAAAATGCACAATAGAGAGTCAAAACTCAAGGTTGAAAATCCATCTTCAAAGTACTATCAAATGACAGCATTTACCCAATAAATAAGACATACATAACAACAACATTGTCATAATCGATTTTTTTTTATTTAAAGCAATAATTATCAACACGATTATTAAAAATTTATAAATTGTAAACTTAACACTACTTAGAAAGCTGGCTAACCTTTTTTTTTTTTTTTTTTTTTTTTCAATTTCTGCAAAAGCACATTGTAGCTTATATAAATTGCTTTCATAATGAACTGCAATGGAAAATGCAATCACAAATGAGATACACAAAGCAGAAATAGTACTATAATGATCTTTCCTTTTTTTTTTGTTGAAAGCACTGCATAACTGGAAAAAGAAATGCAAACTTAAATTAAACTATGAAGAACCAAATGATCTAACACATTTAAGTTCTTCTTAAACTATAACAATATAGTATATCTGCCACAAATAGTCTTTAAAGAGAACTATTAAAATCTCTTGACCCCGATAAGCATCTTTTACCTTCCAAAAATTCTATGGATAAATGACTTCTTTATACAACCTTGCTATTCCAAATAACTAATCTCATACTTTGTAACCAAATTATTACATGCTTCTAATGTTGCATATCAGATAAATTAGGGTTAATTAAGAAATAGTGAGGAAAGTGATGAGAAGCTCTGTCGCCCCAGTCTTACCCGCATCAACATATTTGATGCTTCCTGGTGATTGACTCTCTTTCTGATTCCTCATTTTCTTTTCTTTTTTTTCTATATCAATTTTTTTTTTAAATATTTTTTGGTGCAATAAGTCTGGAAGAGGCAAATTGGGGGTGGTGTGATGATGATTATAAATTGAATCATCCTGAATAATCATATTCTGATGACTAATTATTAATCAAAAATTCATGCACTACCATCTGAGCTCTCCCTAAATCCTCCACCTTCAAATTCCACCCTAAATGATTCTTTTTCTTAATCTATTAATTCATGTTTTTTAAATAATTCTAGTGTACTTTTGCCCATTGGTATCTGATGTCCAGACTAAAAAATGTGGCTGGGCATTTCGTAAGAACTTGGACTTTGGTAGTCCAGATTAGATTAGCTTTTGACTTTGCCAGTTTATTGCATGCCTTTTACCTATAATTCATGTCCTAATTTATCTGTTTAGGTTTTAGTCTTTGCCTTTGGGAAAACGCAAAATCTCTACCTTAAACGATCATGTGCAACCACACTCCTTACACCCCTTGTCTCTTTCCCCAACCTCAAATTTTCTAGGCAACCAAGCAGAAGACAATATTTCACTCCTTTTTTCTAGTCAGTAGGCAATAAAACTCAGCGTTTCACTCTCTTCCGTTTCCCTTTGATTCACGGCAACCAAACACAAATTAGGAATTGAAATTAGAAAGAAATTCAAACCTGCCTTGTAAATTAGGGCTTGAGCGATGTTCTTGACGTGCGACGTGGATCTTCCGGTGGCGAGGACCATGAAATCCGCCCACTTGCAGTGCTAAGTTGTGGAGAAGCCATTCACCCTGAGAAAATAAAAAAACCAATCCGATGGGTTCTAATGGGTCTTAAAGACAACAAATCTAAAAATTTGCCCAAAAAAAAGAAATCTAACAACAAAAACATAAATTATATAGCTTACCCAGAAAAGGTTCGAATGGGACAAAAGCAAAGATTTGCGAGAGAGAAGACGAATTGAAGCAGAGATCGACGGCGAAAGAGAGAAGGCAAAAGGGAATTAAGGGGCGAGATTGATCGCACTTGTTGGAATCGAAGGCGAGATTTAGTAATCCCGAGAACAGCAGAAGAGAGATCTGCGAGAAAGATGTGAGTAAGCAACGGAAAGCAAAATAAAAATCGAGAACACACAGTCCAAAGAGAGGATTCATCGATGACAAACGCGTGGAAGCAATGGGCAAAAGCGGCATTTCGCTGCCCCAAAAACCAAAGAGAATAACAACTGGAGGAAAAAGCCAGGGGCAAAATCGTTCGTCCACTGGTCATCTACAGTACTCACTTCACTGAGTTTTAGTATATAGAGATATATGGAGTGGAATTCTCTCCGTTCTTATTTTTATCCCCTTTTTTCCGAGTATTTATCAATAATAACTAAAATTTAACACTCAATTTTATAAATGTCACATTTTATAAAAACTTTCAAATATAGCAAAAAATTCATGTGAATAGACCTAAATACCCCCCAAAAAAAATCCAAAAACCCATATATGCAGAAAAGAAAAACACTTGAAAAGATCTCCTCTATATCGTTGTTAAAAGTGCGAGACAGCGAGGGGAGTTGGTAAATGTTGTGGAACAGTTCTGAGTGTTGTTCAATAGTCAACTAATTGAGTACAAACTTGAAAATTTGACTCTCATGTTTGAAACTCAAACACTACCGTTGAAACAATATCGTCTCAGTAGAATATGCTTTACAATCTTCTTAGCAAACATGATATTAGTAGAGGTTTCTAACTCATTGAATTCAAATGCCAATCTAATTGTGCTTACGAATTTCCCTAAAATTTGTTGGATAACAGTTTAAAACAACAACAGTTTTCACAGGAGGATCTTTCCAATTTAATTCTTGCTTCTCTTCGCCGCAAATATAATTAATCTATAATCCCTATTAAGCAAGTTCTAAATTATAACAGACCTCACAAACCAATCAAAACTAAACAATGGGGTGAGTGTGCGAAATGCTGCTCTCAACAATTGGGTGATGGTTTTGCCACTTATGTGGATTTGGTTTTAATTTTGAGGGTATTTATATCTATTTAAGTGGATTTTCTATTATATTTGAATTTTTTATATAAAAAACTGACATTTATGAAATTGGATGTTAAATTTTGGCTATTATTTATAAAATACTCTTTTTTCCCCTCATGTCATAGTTTTCTTTTCGTCTCTCTCTATTAAAAAAAATTAATACTGGATGGTGGCGTGACTTAATCATAACTGTTTAAATAGAAGGAAAAGAAATATAAGAGAGATTAAGAGGGAAAAGAATCTTTGTCCCATCTCATTGGCACCGAGAGACCGAAAATTGCCCTTCAACCTCAAATTACATTTCTAGCAGACCAGATTACAGGGGGCAATTTACCCGAGCAATTTAAGTTCGGCCTTACGCCAGCAGATGTTTTTTTGGTGTGTGTAAAACATGCACATTCTAAGCGAGTGGATCGACAACTTTTGATATCTTTGACAAAATGACATGTACGTAATTGCGCACATCACAAAAAAATACTTACTCAATTTGCTTTTGCTTGATAACCCTAATAGGCTTCTTAAAAGAACGCCAAATACCAAATACCAAGTACCAAATTCCAAGCCAAATGTCTAATTAACCTAAGTTTCCACATGGCATGAAGATTAGCAATTGGACCCTGGCAACAGACACCTTGCTAGCACTGAGAGACTTTTGAGATGCCAAAATCTATTGCTTTTGACATTGACATGTAGAGATTTTTCAGTATGACCGGTACATAGGGTTATATACCACGTGTCATTATACAAATGGTAAAACAAGTGTCATTATATAAATGATGATATATGTGTGTTAAAAAGTTAATAACTTAAAAAATAAAATTTCTCATCACTTATATAAAAGCACGTGTTGGACCACCCGTGTTCCAATCACAATGAAAATTTTCTCATTGACGTGGGCAATTTCAAGCGCATTGTAGATGCTATTAATACGTCGTTATCATAAAGACAATATAATTTATATTCTCAATTGATGTTTATGAACGTATAAAACTCATTAAGTTTAATGAATGTTGAACGATAATATAAACGTTAACTTACGAATTTTATTCAAGTGATTATTATTTTTTTTTTTAACAAACAACATTATTTACTGTAAAGTGGAGGGAGTGGTATAAGCCTTACAATGAAATACCAATAATATGGTTCAAATTCATCTTTAGCGAGAATCGAACCTAAAACCTTTCACTTATAAATGAAGAGGAATACCACTAAACTATAGTACTAAGTGATTATAAAAGATGGAGAAATCACGAAGAAAAGTTATGTCTCGTAATCTCAATAAAAATTGTAGAATTAAAAGGAAAAAATTTTCTTCATGAATTCTCTATTTTATATCTTCACTTGAACAAAATAAACAAATTAACGTTTAATTTTTATTCAACATTCATTAAACCTAATAAATTTTCACAAGAGAGAACTTTAGGTTATAAATTTTTGTCTCTTTCTTTGTAAGGGTGTTTCTAAGGTGCGGACTTTGCGTCCGAACCTTGTGCATGGACAGGAATCCAACTGCCATAATTTGCTGAGCTCATGGTAGAACTGAGGTGTTGGTATTTTTGTTTTGCAGTTGCGTTTAGGATGTGGTACTAGACTGCCTACGTATCTTGGACAGAATATGTCACGCCCCAATCTTGACATACGTCCAGAATTAACACATGACGTCACCAAATATCCGTATCCAACATACACCGCCTCAGGAATATGGGCAAAGCACAACTCAATAATCAAATCGCATAGAAATTTTTCGTATGCCTTATGGCTACATCTAACCTCCCCGTTAGATTGCCTACGTACCCTAAGCAGGGATCAAACCATTCGTAGTTCATCATGCACAATAATTGGCATATATCACAGTCTGATTACGTCGAAAGGCATAACATTTCTCAATCAATCAATACAACTTGACAAGCATGAAATTACTCGACTCAGGGTTACATAACAACCCATCGGAAAATCATGATTTCCCCTCCATCTATATATAAATCATTATGTCGCAACATGATACTGCAATTCACAACATATATCATTTCAAAGAACCAACGAAGCACAATACCATTCTCTAGCCACATTTATCAACAAGTCTAATCATAACAATAATAATGATATCCAACATAATAATCCCACATGACGATTAACATTTCCACTTCATCCATCACATAATTCATCACGTTTCCCACATAAAATCGCATTTCATAGTGTGTAACATAGTTAAGAATTAACAAAGTACACATTATTCTCTAGAAATATTAATCAACTAAAATACTCATGATAACCACACTCATATCCAACGTCATTCCATAATCACATCAATCAATAATGTCAACCATCACATCATCAATAACACATACAACATGTCAAAACGCAAGGCTAGAGCAACACAATTTGGTTGAAGACTACATCTTTAGAAAAGGGGATTTTGGACCACCCAACGGACCGAAGCACCAAAGGGGATTCCGAACCATCACTCAACGAAATCCAAGCAAAACTCAGTTCCAGACCACCCAACCGAATTGAACGGAAGTCCAAGAAGCATAACAACGGCTCGAAGGAACAAGACATGATTCAAGTTACCCAATTCACGAAAACTCAACGAAACGAAGCAATATCGAACACAAATCCACATCACAATGGGTTATCGGTCAATTACTAGACCTCACATCTCCCAAGCAATTCAATATGCATTTCAATCATATGTCACAACCATTTCCAATACACAAGTCAAATCACATTTCACTTCATCATACCAATCACTATGCTTCCATCATTATATCTCAATACATAGCTTGTAACATATCAAGGAATCACGAAGCACAATATTAATATTTATTTACGTTAATCAATCAGTGAGATAACATATCATTTCACGAATTTAATTAAAGAACTCTACATAATTCCCAACTTGGGTTATGAATAATAACATGGTAATTCTAATTTATTTTCACAATATCTATTGTGGGTAATTCCCATCTACTCGAATTTAGGATTCTAAGATCACCTTACAGAATGAACAAGAGCAAGGATTCCGGACCACTCAATGGAATCCAACAACATTGGGTTTCGGACCACTCAACGGAACCAAAATATCAAGCGGTTTCTCATAATCTACCCATACCTGACATATGTAAAGTCAATGCCAATATTATGGAATTGGTGCACTGGCAAATCAGGCACTCAGATAAGCTGAGAGGCTCGAGTGAGGGACAATAAAATAAGCATGTGATACAATAATAAAACCAGCCATCAATCACAATTTATAAACCTTGAATATAAATTTTTCATAAGAAATCAATACCAAACTTTTGAAAACTCTGAGGGAGTCACCCAGACATCCAAAAGTTCATTTCAAACAACCATAACATCTCACACCCATATTCACATACACACAATAAAAGTAGAATTAGGGCGACATAGTTCATCCAAAGCCTACACCTTTGCAACCATTTCAAACTAAACTCAATGAACTAAGGTGGATACAATCTCGGACCATCACTCAACGGGATCGTGGAGTAAGAGGGATTCCGGACCATCACTGATAGGAGCATATTTAGGCGACTTACTTAGCTTGTTTTCGTGCATCTATGTTGTTAATTCATAGTTGTTTTAGTAGTTTAAGCCATTTTCGTGTGTTTTTAGGTTCATATGGCTAAGGAAGCAAAAAGATGCATTTTGGAGCATTTTGGAGCAAAATTGGGCTTGGAATGGATAGCATATTTTTGGAGCCAAAGTGTTGGACGAATTTGAAAGCCTTGTATGCACTTTGGACATAAAACAAAGGGCCTAGCCCAATCAAACAATCCTTTGAGCCATGCAAAACCTCTAGCCCAATCAACAAGCCTTAGCCACATGCATTCACATGCATCACAACCCCAAAACCATCAAGAAACACCCATTCACACACACATGCACTCACATGCATTCACATGCATTTCCACCTTCCTACTTCATCATTTCACCACATTCTCCCTCTTTAACTCACATGCACCCAAACAAAGCCAACCTAGCTAACCCTACATGCATTATTTATTCACTGTTCATCATTGCATTACTCACCAAAGAACTCCCCATCATTGCCATGCATTCCCCCTAATTCCATCCATCTTCCACACCTTTCCAACCTAGCCACATCCTTTAATCATCCCCCCTTTAAGTTATGATTTTATTTCCTAACCCTACATGCATTATTTATTAACTTTTCATCATGCATCCACATTCATTCCAACACAAAACACACACACACATGCACTTATTCTTTCATCATTGCACCACCAATTCACCCACATGCATTTCCAACCATTCACACCC